GATGATGCGATTAGGCAGTATAAAATTTCCACAAATAAACCGTAAATTATGTAAACCTAACGTGTTCAACTGTGAAGCTTTGTCGAAACGAACGAAGCCATCGTTTCCGAGTCCGGATGGCAGTTGAAGACTGGGTCTGAGATTTGACTTCCAAATATGGAATAGCAAAATTATGGGCTGTTTGTTGCCTATGTTGACATTCGTGCAGTTCATCGTTTGCTTGGGTTTTCGTCGATTTGATAACTTTTTTGTGGCGAGAATGGGAAGCTATCTTGCGTGCTATCGACTGGACGTGCTTGATGTTCGATTTCATGTACCAGTTTGCAACGTATCAGCATTTTCAAGAGACTTTAAAAAACAACACGCCAGAGAACGCAGTATGATATTTCATATTTGTAATGTGATGTCTTTACCTTGAATAAAGAAATTAAAGTAATGATCAACTTTGTGTTGGTTGTATTTCTGCCTTGCTGCACGTGCTTAGCGCCCTTTCCCGCTAAAATCGGCAAAGGTTCTGCTTTTCCCGCTAAAGTTAATTGAATAAATTAATAAATGAAAGTAAATAATTCGGTTAATTCTTGTTTACGTGTTATTTATTAGGCCCGGCGAATTCTTATTAAAGTGTGCAAGAACCTCTATAACCTATGTAATGATCTTGGAAAAACAATACATGGATTTCAAACTGGGCTCCTAACAATGTGGCTCGGGCTCCTAACTTTAAACTTTAGGAGCCCGAAGGGCTCCCTAAAATTTTTCTTAGGCAGCAGCCTTGCTCATGGTTTATACATATGGTTCAGTGATATTGTGAGATCTTAATTTTGGTTCATTTTGCGAGTGACGGCGTATGCCAGATCTTGAAGCCTATGTGTCATTCTGAGTGACCATTGTATTATTGTTCCACATTTAAATGACAAGTGATTCTTCTTTCATAAATTGTACCATTCAAAACTCTTATGCTTTATAAATATGGTTCAGTGATATTGTGAGATCTTAATTTTGGTTCATTTTGCGAGTGACGGCATTTTTTTTATTTTGCGAGTGAAGCCTATGTGTCATTCTGATTGACCACAGTATTATTGTTCCACATTTAAATGACCAGTGATTCTTCTTTCATAAATTGTACCATCCAAAACTCTTATGGTTTATGCATATGGTTCAGTGATATTGTGAGATCTTAATTTTGGCTCATTTTGCGAGTGACGGCGTATGGCAGATCTTGAAGCCTATGTGTCCTTCTGAGTGACCACCGTATTATTGTTCCACATTTAAATGACAAGTGATTCTTCTTTCATAAATTGTACCATCCAAAACTCTTATGGTTTATACATATGGCTCAGTGATATTGTGAGATCTTAATTTTGGCTCATTTTGCGAGTGACAGCATATGCCAGATCTTGAAGCCTATGTGTCATTCTGAGTGACCACCGTATTATTGTTCCACATTTAAATGACAAGTGATTCTTCTTTCATAAATTGTACCATCCAAAACTCTCATGGTTTATACATATGGTTCAGTGATATTGTGAGATCTTAATGTTGGTTCATTTTGCGAGTTACGACGTATGCCAGATCTTGAAGCCTATGTGTCATTCTGAGTGACCACCGTATTATTGTTCCACATTTAAATGACAAGTGATTCTTCTTTCATAAATTGTACTATCCAAAACTCTTATGCTTTATAAATATGGTTCAGTGATATTGTGAGATCTTAATTTTGGCTCATTTTGCGAATGACGGCACTTGCCAGATCTTGAAGCATAAGTGTCATTCCAAGTGACCACTGTATTACTGTTTCACATTATAAATGACAATACCTCATTATTTATACCTTTTGTACAGCTCAATGATGTTGAGGGATCTTTGTTAGTTCACTTTGCGAGTAAATGCTTTGGCTTTATCATGCCAAATAACCACAATTAATTAATTATTGTTCTAAGCAACATGTGGGTTGCCTTAATGTTATGCTTCTCAGGTTCTGACCGGTTTTACGGTTTATGTGTACAGTTGAGTCATGGCTGTGGTCTGTTAGAGCCTGGTGACCTGTGGGACACTATCAGTTCTGCTCTTGAATGACAGGGGAATTAATTTATTTCAGTTTTTATTTACACTTAAAAGAGTCTTAATGAAACAAATGCAGTTTCAACAGAAAGAGCCTTTTCTGCTCTCTACTTTAACACCTGTTCCAAAAAACATATTTTATACTTAATGAAAAAGTTAGTAGGAATAAAATGCAGGGAGAAATTTTTCTCACAAATATCCTCAAACTGTTCCTTTGATTAAGAGAGTGTTTTCAGCTTTTAGCATCGTGTCATTGTTCTGCAACCCAATCATTTACACTGAGTATGAGCAGTACATGCTTGTTTACCAACTGTGGGTTACTTGTTGGTTGCTAAATCATGGCTCTTCATTTTTCTTTCAGAAAAAAAATTAAAGGGCCAATATGCCTTGAGGGAGTCAACTGGCATCAGTTAGTCAGACAAGGACAAGTACATTGCATGTA